TCTCTCTCCGCCGGTTAATTTGCGTCAGAAATAATTTAACGCCGGCGGAGCTATGCCCGCCCTTGTCGCCACGTCACCTCTGGCGATTTCTACGGGCACCAGATTAATCGTCATGACGATCGTTATCGGGACGACTCTCGAGCGGCTCGACGCGTCTGCATTCCGGATATCGCGAATTACCATTCTCGATCTGCTGACTGCGTATTATAAATAATGTCGCGCATCCTAGTCGACAGGGCCTAACGCTATAATTCTAATCTTTCTATACTTTTGTCTCCTTAGAGAAAGTATATGAGTGGGTACATTTAAACAGTGAATATAAGAGATGATCCGATATCATTGTTAAAAATGTATAGGAATTGAATGAATTGAATTAACATAGAATACCAGAGATCCATTTCCGTATGTAGACGTCCGCAGATAGATTATAGAAGATATATTAAACGCAATTTTTTCCCAAATATTTAGACAAATATAAAAAATAATTATAGGAAGGGGCTAATCATAATAATTGAAAAATTAACGCTCTGCCGCGAGATGTCTTCGAAAGTTGACGACGACGACCTTAAAGCTAACCGCGACCGTTACACAGGACTCTACACCGTGATTGTTTGTTTCCCGGCTGTAATCGCACGTCGATTTCCGCGCTTTAACTGAATTCGCGGCGGATACGCTTTGGGCGCTCGCGCGAGACCATCCGCGCGATTAATATACGCACGCACTCGCTCGCGCGAGCTTAAGCCTGCGTTAAAGCTAACGCTGTAATCGCTTAATACGTTGGCATCGTGGCGCGAATGTGAAACGCGTTTGGAATCGACGGAAGATGATAGAGAGCTACGCACGTGGCGAGAGAGCGAGACGAAGAGTGAGAAAGAAGCGAGAAAGAGAGAGAGAAAAGGGAAGATCTGTGAGGACGTTCCGCTTTATCAGTGCAAATGGGATGCCAGCGTGTTTCCATTAATTCAAATCGCCGAGTAAAATCGTGCCGTGGAATGTCCATTAAAGTCAAGCGGAGAAGTCGTTAGCCTGTCCACGATGACGTTGGGAGTACCTGGCGTTTTGTTAGCAACTACAATCTTACTGATTTAAGTCGCGAAAAACGCTCGGCAAGGTGCCGTTTTACGGTCTGGAAACGCTTTTCGACAAGCGCTAAAGGCCTCCGCGAGCAAATTAAGTCGATGTAAGGCAACACGCAAAGAAAATTTTTTACGTCACTTCACGCGAAGACAGACTTTGTACAGTCTGCCTGTATTTTTATAAACCTCGATAAAATACGGAATTCGTTAAGGAATGCCGCAGCATTCTTTCAAAAAATAATAAAAGAAAGAATCTTTAAATAAAAATGCTCAATAACTCGATATGCGCAGAGTGAACTTTGAAACTTTGTGTTCTTTTTTTATAGATTATTTGCATATGAAATAAAAAATTAAATTTTATAAGATGTCTGCAATATGTCATTTTCGATTCATATACACCATTACACGTAAAGTTATTCGATTAATTAATACCACACACAGCTTATTATATTAAAATTATTATTAAACTATTATAATATAAATGAATAATTTAAAAAACTTTTTCAATACGCAAATTTGTGAGGAAGAGTATGAGTCTTTGTTTTTTAACGTCGACTCGTTTGAGCGTCGGGATTAAATCGTTTGATGTGTGCAGAATGTGCTGAGGCAGTCATGTGAATAGAACGGTGCATTGAACGGATGTTCCGGTTTATCAGTGCATACGGCGTGCCGTCGTGTTTCCATTTATTCTGTCGCCGGGTGAACTCGTGCCATTGGAACGCTCATCGAAGCCGAGAGACGAAGTCGTTAGGCAATTTGAGGTAAAGTTAACTCTTTACAAGACCGCGACGATGTCACTGCCATTGCACGAGAGAGCGAATTTTTAAACCTGATTCGAGAAACGGCATGGTATTTACACCGAACGAATCACCGACGACTGACGAGGCAATCACGGCTGCTGTAATCGTCCACAGGCGACGAATTCTCATTCAATTCAATGAATTAACCGCCATCGCGATAACAGAGCGGCTTTAATTCCAGAGCCGTTCGAATCGGACGCAACGTTATTTTTTCGAGGTCTCGCTGGAAACCTATATTCCGTGTAATGTAATTGCAGCGATACAATTTAAAAAATGGATAAATAGTTACGTTTCTTTCTTTTACGATTCCATTCAACTTCAACAAGTTTATGAATAATTACATACAAATAGGATATTTAGCAACCTGAATTTTTGCAGAAAAAATTAATTAAAAAATATATTTTTATACATTTACCATTATTGCAATTGGTTCCAAATTCTCACAACAATAAAACAATAAAAATTAAAAAAGTAAACGTTAAGCAATGTTTATTAGCTATTTTTGGTTCGAAAAATCTTGAGATAGTTAAGAAATGTTGAATGTCGCGAGGGAACATTTCAGAAATGCCGTGGTTACTTAAAACATCCCTGGCATTCGCGGCGAAAGAGACGCGTTACAAATGTTAATGCGACATTAGGTGTCACGTCTCTATCTCTTTACACTTTTCCACGCGTGAGAACACGAAATCGGTTAATCCAAACGCGCGGGAATCGTCGGAAAGGATGTGGGGACTGGGGAGAACGAAGACGCGGATCGGCAAACGTTCCGGTTTGTCAGCGCGCGTACCGGCATGCCGCGGCTTGTTTCCATTAATTCGCGTTGCATGGCGAACTCGTGCCATTGGAATGCCCGTCGGAGTCGTCGGGTTATAAAAGGCAAGACGGAGCAACCTAATTTGCTACATTGTCACGAACATACGCGAGCGGCCCACTCGCGAAATATCGGCTGTAAATAAGTCCCCCCGGCTCGGATCTGATAAGCTAAATCCAATTAACCCTCATCACTTTAAGACGGCGAGGCTTGATTTTTACCCGAAATCGCGAGGAAATCCTTAAAGCCGCGATCAAGCAAACGCGATGGTCTCAAAAGCCAGATATTCGTTCGCGTGGGTCTACGATTTATGATTATTTGCGTGATAAATATTTTTCTTACTTACTTCTCCGTGCGCGCATTTGCAATCTTATCTTGCAACTCCTCGATGTACAAATTATTCTTTATCAATTAATTGGCAATTGGTAGAGGATTTCCAATTACCGTAAGTTTCAGATGTCCTGCATTTGAATATGTATGCGATTTGTTTCCTGTTACTTTGTAGCTAAGGAATCGGTTATTCTAATATGAAGTTATTGGTATAACGGATTAATGTGCGGATGCATTATACGGGAAGGCGTCAGTTTATTTCATTAATGAGTGTACAAAGCTCTCGCGTCGAGAGTATTTATGGATGCTGAAAGGTTGTTCGATTCAAGAAGGAATATTTAGCTGTAAAAAAAAGGACAGTTACGATCGATTACATCGTGCTCCCTCGCGTTTCATCTTGCCTCGTGTAATAACCGCGATCGAACTCGATGCACGGCGATCGCGCTCATGCGTGAATGCGGAATCGCTTAATTTCAAACGCACTGAAACACATCGCGATGGATGGCGGGCCGCGCAAGACGGGACGTTCGTCTGTTCCATCAGCGCGTAATAATCGCTTCTGACGGAGCATTCTATTAATTCACCTGGATATTTTATACCGCCGGAATGAATTCATTTCCGAATGTTGCGCCCCGGAATTTTTCCCGGGCGAACTGGACTATGCATATCGACCCGCGGGATGCATAAATAACACGCGGAAACACATGTTCCCTTTCAACGTGGAGCTATAACAGTTAATTCGACCGGAAATTCACTGTCGATGAAATACAGCGAGATTAACTAGTACACGCGATGTTATTACGCTAATGAAGATATCTGTGAAGCTCGAATATTATATATTTATCTTGCGCTTAATATAAAAAAATACTAAATTTTCAAAAATATTTTTTCAAATATCGATGCCGTTTAAAATCGTCAGATCTATGTTTCCGATTGCCTAACTCTTTTCTTTACTTTCATAATTCTATAAGTATGCGCAAATGTTGTCAAATGTTTCATCTATGGAAATTAAACGGAAACCGTTATAGCAATTACATACATTACTTAAATTCCGATCGTGGAATGGCAATCATATTTTATACACGAGATTAATCCTGACTGTATAATTTATACATTTCTGATTTCTTCTGTGACTCGCGTACTTTCTATTTTAGCGCGGGGGGAAGGATTATTTTTTCAAAAGGGGAAAAATTTCACCGCGGATCGCTTAATACGGAATACGTCACGACGACGACGGTGGGATAGAGAGGCAGGGTAGAGGAGGCGCGTTTCGCTTTATCAGCGCATATACGCGCGCGCGCGGCATGCCGCGGCGTGTTTCCATTAATTCGCGTCGCGGGGCGAACTCGTGCCGTTGGAATGCCCGTTGAAGCCGAGGAGAGAAGTCGTTAGGCTGCGTGCCCGTCGTTCGAACCGGCAACCGGTTTTCCCATCGGTGATTCGTCGTTAATTCGCCGGCGCGGAATAAGTAATCGCGCGCGTCCCAACGACCACCTCGGGTGTGTTATACGTCCGAGTTTACATCGTGCAAACCAGGGGAATCGCCCCGCTTCCATGCTGGCTTTTCGCGATCGAGAGGAAACTTCGGTGGAAAGTCAGAGGCGCGCCGCGGGAAGCGAGGGCATTACCGATTTAGCTTTTAAATTTAGAAGGAAAGGAAATGCACGTTGCTTTTCAGTAATATTAAAAAAAAAAAAAAAATAGAATCAAGCATCTAATAAATTCGTCTGGGGCAAGATTATCTATTCGTATGTCCGATTGCAGGATTAAAAATATTTTCTTGCATTTCTCTGTCAAGATTTGTGTGAAGTTTATGCAGAGATTATATAATTTTATGACAGAATTTCGCCCATTATTTCACCCATTATTTCACGCTAAGTTTGTAACATGCCATAATTACATAGAACGATTTCTATATATAGTATCAAATATCAGTGGACATAAACACTATTTTATATAACAAGTACCATGAAAAATTGACTCACCGAATAAATTCGCCAGCATAGAACTGGAAACTCGTTCTGAAACAGATAAAAAATATTCATAAAAATAAAAATTTAATACCTTCTCGTGAATATAACTGTCATCACATTACAAGGTAAACGCTTTTTTTTTTTGCGTAAATAGATCGTAAAACGTGGATAATTGTTGTATTCAAATAACTCCTTTTAAGCGGTCTCAAACAAGGGCGCAATGGTCGTGACAAATTCAATGTTACATTTTACAAAATTTAGATCCAACAGAGATAGGGCACCGGGAAATGATCCAAGAGGTAAAAACAATTCAACACGACACGATTTCGTGAAACATGCTGCCTGCACGCGACGCCATATCAAAGAATTATAGTCCGGTCAAATTAGCCCAAAAAATAGGGGTAAGGTTACAATAATTCCGATAGAGCTGAAAATTCGTACGAATGTTTGGAACACCATTATAAATGAACTGTGAAAAGTCCCCATACATCCCGTGCCTGGAAAAAATTTTATTCAAGGTCAAAGGTGGCAAAAATGGGTTTTTTGTGTTTTTCAGCCGAATGGTAAGTTTTATCATAAAAATAGCTTAGACAATAATTGGAGATCGTGCAATTATCTATAATAATTGTCTCTATACTTTTTTCTGTAAGAGTCACCGTTTTTTCAACTTTTTGAATAATTATATCTCGTAAACGGTGACTCTTACAGAAAAAAGTATAGAGACAATTATTATAGATAATTGCACGATCTACAATTATTGTCTAAGCTATTTTTATGATAAAATTTACCATTCGGCTGAAAAACACAAAAAACCCATTTTTGCCACCTTTGACCTTGAATAAAATTTTTTCCAGGCACGGGATGTATGGGGACTTTTCACAGTTCATTTAGAATGGTGTTCCGAACATTCGTACGAATTTTCAGCTCTATCGGAATTATTGTAACCTTGAATGTCTAATTTGACCGGACTATTAGATAGTATACAAACTGCTTATAGTGATAAAAAAAGAAAAAAATCCAAAATATTGGAAATGCTCAACGCTTCATAGTATAACTGAATAAAAGCTACTTTAGTTCAATGCTTTATACGATAATCGGTGGGATCATATCGCTAAATAGAAATCAATGAAAAATTCTGTTCAGATTATGCAGAGTATATCATGCGATTGATGTTCGAGGTACAGCCGTAGTCTAAAGCTTCCTATGTCAATTTCCCTACTACCTAATCTTTCCCGGTTAACTCGCGCGTGAGAGCGCGAGTTATCGCGACGTGGGGGCTCGTTACTACCCCCCGGGAATTTTACGATAGCTCGGGGACTTGAATGCACGTTCGCACTTTGTGTTCCGCTTTAGTATCCGAGACACCTAAGCGTTCCACTTACGTGGAAGCGCACGAACGGGACGTCGTACGCGCGCGGGCGCGAGAGCAAAATCGCCCAGACGAGGCGAGAAAGACACTCGCATTACGTGCACGCACGCACGCACGCACGCACGCGTGCGCGCGCGCGCGCGACGCGACGCGCCCTAGCCGTGTTATTATATTTTACTTTGGTCGACGCGGAAACCCCGGGATAATTTGCGCGAACGAGCCGCAATTATTTAAGGGTGTGCATACGTAAAGAGGGTGGCTCTCTCTCTCTCTCTTTCTCCCCTCTCTCTCTTCCTTTCTTTCTTTCTTTCCCTCGGTTGTGGGGCCCCGTGTTCTGCCTGAGTGCCGGACGCGCGGCCTCTATCGATTCGCGTCGCCATCGCCACGTCGATGTCGGCGGAGCCGCGGACTCGTAACTTCTTCCGAGAATTGCTACCTTTCTTTAAGTAATAGATATGCACGTCGGACGCGAAACGACGCTCGGCCCAGTGTTTGCTCTTCGCCTCGGGGAAACGCTCGCCATTTTGTGAATCGCGATGCCAGAAATTCAAACACAGCTCGCGATGCCGATGCAATTCCGAGACGAGATCGAAGCGCGAGATTCGAGATCGCGTGTAGGAACATTTGTGCGAAAATCAGAGCGAGAGCGTTGCAAAGAACCTTGCCGAAAGAAGACGGAGAAATAAAACCGACAAAGAAGCTTAATTAACGATTATTTATATAGAATCGCGAGGTTTTTAGCTTTAGCAAGGTGTAACTTTGAGCTCCCTGTGACGCTTTATCGAGCAAGTAATATTATCGAGAAAGGGGATGATAATGGCTGGGTTGAGTCCAGGGGTTAATTATGATTCCCCATATCACTGCTATATCCCCGTTATTATGAAGGGTCTCTTGCATTAAATTTTACTACAAGAAAAGAAAAAGCTATTAAGTTATTAAGGTAAAAACCGTGTTCTTCCTTGCTCGGAAACAAGTAATTTTTTCTTTTCATTTTAATTCAGGCGTCCTATGTTTATTTTTACGGAGGATGCAAAAGAAATTTACATATTTAAATAGGCGTGGACATATTAGAAACATGCAACGATGAAATGGAAGAATCTATCTAAAATCTTGAAATTATTCTCTTCGTACGGTCTAACAAAAGAAATTAAAGTATGAATATTTATAGGCGAAGATTGAAAGGCTATTTGTGTAAAATGAGAATGAGATAATATATTTTAGATAAAGACATAACTTCCGCTTATAATAGCATTCCATTTCATTTTCTAGTCTGCTAGAAATGTTGATGCAATCATTTTTCACGTAACCATCAAAAAGTCAGGAGCATACATACCTTCGGACATATATCTAATATCTATGTTATTAATATAATATTAAATTGATGTTGAATCTTAATATATATATATATGTATATATATTACGGCTATAAATTCTGTATCGTTACCGAAGACATGCAATCTCACGCGATATTTTTAAATCACGCCGTATCTTCGTATCTTTTCTGTCCTACAAAAATATCAACCCCAGCTTTTATATTTCGGGATCGACCGATATAAACTCGGACTCTCGAACCCGACCGACCGAACGCACGTAACTATTCGGAGCTAATGCTCGCATACGGCTCCTAATCGTCGCACGTACGTTGGGGGGTCGGGTAGCCGGCGCCATCGGTGTGTTTACCCCCGCGTGTATATACACGTGCGCGTGTACGTATACACACAGATCCACATGAACGCGAAACCCGTTACGTGTGTCGACGGGAGTGCAGCGAAGCACTAACGCCAGGGTGGTGTCGAGGGTGGTTGGAGTGGCTCGGGGGGTGATTATGAGCGAGTAAGTGCCGCCGTCCAGTTTTTACTCCCCTGCCACCTCGCAGCCCTACTCCGGCTGACCGTTCCTCCACCATCGCCGCGGCGACCAGCTCTTCCCCCTTGTTCCTACCCCCCCGTGCTCTAGCCGCGCTGCTTCTCTTACTACCGACTCGACTAAACCCCCAACGGATCAATACGCTAAAACATTGCCACGTCGAGACGCCGCCGTGTAAAACCCGAAAGAAATACCATTGCGGGGGCGGTGTTTTCTCTTAGCCAGCGGCCACCGCGTCTCCTCCGTTCGCGCGGCTAACGAACTTCCGGTTTTCGACCCTTTCACCGTCCGACTCTCTTCCCTCTTACCCCTTCCTCCGCTTCGCTTTCTTTCTTTCTGTTCGACGCTCGTGGACGGCTTTATTTTATCTTGGTTTATACCTTTGTTTGGTCGATATCCGAAATTTACGCAACGTGGATCTTTCATTAGACGTGAAATAAGAAGATTTTGCGAGAGATTCCTGCGTTGCTTCTTCAATGGAATTAGGCCGGTGGGAGTTGATTGTTTATCTTTAGGTTAAAGGGCTTAAGATTCCCGGGATATAGGGGGAAGATCACCACAATGGGAATTGCGAATTGGAAAAATAATTATTTATTATATAAGATTTAATAAAACTATTTAATCCTTTTATTATTTAAGTACGTGATATTAGAATGTAAAGCTATTTTAATAGTAAAAGTAGTAATAATATATAACGATAGAATTAAATAAATGTGTTACACACTATAATACAATGAAAGCAATATTTAAAAAAATGCATATATTATTTATACAATTAAAATTTGCTTATAAGTTTATCATCTTAATTAGTTAATTACATTAATAAATAAATTTGTTTTCGTAGAGTAATATTATATCATAAAAGAGATTATATAAATATAATATTAATAAAGAGATGCAAGAGTTTTGAAAGTTCTAATATCGGATGTAATATTTTAAAATTTAATTTAAATTATTAAAGCTTGCACATACATCGCATATATTCTACAGTATTATGATAAAGGTCCTTAACATATCATGTATTAAAACGTGAAAATCTTACCGAAGAGGAATTTACAAGGATTGAATTTTTACCGAGATGATGATATGCATCTTCAAAATGAAGGAAGCGCGCCAAGGATCGACTGAAAGCTCGGCGCATTCCGTACTACGCGTAGCACGATATTTCACCTTCGACGCGTGCAGTCATAGTTCGCTCTCCGGGATAAGAAGAGCTCGCTATCGATGGTAAACCTTCGAAGGGCACGAAAGACGGATGAACGGACGTCCGTGGCCTACCGCAACTCACGTAAGGCAACGGATCCGCTATCCGCTTCGGTTCCCTTCTCCCCCTCCCTCACTGACATACGTATGTACGTTCCTACTCTCACGTGTGCTCGACATAACGTCGGGTTTCCGTGGACGGTCGATATATCGATTGTTGCTGAACGACCGGCTGGTCGACACAGCCACGAAGGTAGAAGAAAGAGGAAGAGAGAAAGAGAAAGGCGAGAGAGCGAGAGAGAGAAAGAGAGGGGAGTAAAAGCGCTCACGGCTGTTGTTCGTGTATGTCTGTTCTGTGGTCACTTGTTGCCTGCCACCCCCGAGGGTTGGCCTTGTCCCTCTGTGTTTGGGGAACGCTTGTCGTTCGACCGCCGACAAACCACCCGGCGACCAAAGCGTGCTCTCCTCGGAGATCTTTTCTCCGGCGCGGTGGATTAGGATTCTCTCTCTCTCTGCCCCGGTGGGCGAATTGCCGATCTCCCCCTTTTGTTTTTCCGTTTTCTTGTCCGCACGTTTCTTGTCGACACTACGCGCGTGCGTGCGAGGCAAA